TGTGCTCTTTGTCTTGTGTACATAGTTCCTGTATTTACTGTTTGTATCATAAAAAATAGTTCACACGAAAATGAAAATTACCCAATGATTTACTCACCATCAAACCATCCTCACTGTATGACTTTTTGTCTGTCAAATGAACACAGTTGGTGTGGTTTTACATTTTATCCTGACTTTTTTTTTATGTTGTACAATGGTGTTGGTTTTTATTTTGAAGCTTTAAAAATTGCATAAATCCATTGTAAAATGAACCCAGACGCTGCCAGGGGTTAACCAATGTCTTATAAAATAGAACAAAGTGTTTTTGTAATAGAAATATTAAACATTTTGGTCACACTTTACAATAAGGTTGATTAGTTAATGTTAATTAATGCTTTTTCTAACATGAACAAACGATGAACAATACATTTACTACTGTATTTGTTCATGTTAGTTAACTTTAGTTAATGAAAATACAGTTGTTCATTGTTAGTTCATGTTAACTCATGGTGCATTAACTAATGTTAACAAGCATGGACTTGGATGTTAATAATGCATTAGTAAATATTCAAACAAGATTAATAAATGCTGTACATGTGTTGTTCATGATTAGTTCACATTAGTAAATGCATTAACTAATGAACCTTATTGTAAAGTGTTACCAACATTTTAAATTTGTAAACTCCAAACAATTCACGACTGAGTTCACGACTGATGTATATGAAGTATGAAATCAGTTGTACGTAATGTGCAATCGGCCACTGCCATTTGTCTATACAGTATAGTGTATAACGCACAGTACTGTGCAATGTAAATTAAATTCATCTGTCTATGTTTAGGCTAAATCACTGCTTTATTTATTTATTGTTTGTTTGTACTTTCATTTTAGTTGTCTTTTATTTCTTTTATTGTACTTTTCTAAATGAATTCTCATTTCACTTAACACATTTACAATGATAATAAAGCTTCTTAACAAGTTTTTAATGATTATTGGAAGAATTATAATGCTTTGTTTCACTACTTCATCTTCATGTACACATTGCAGAGTATTTACAGATGCCATATATTTCTGTCTGTTTGCATCCTGTCCCTTTGTGACCCTTGGCAGAACAGTCACAAACGGTTGTACCTAAACACACGTTCTTACTCCTTTAGTGCGGCGGCGGTACCCTTCGCAGCGGTAGTGCTCTTTTTAAAGTTTAACCCACTGTATGTCCCATTTTTACCATAATACCATAGTGCAATTACTGGTACTACAGTAAATCATGAAAAACCTGTGGAATAGCCTACTAACTATTCTCTTCATGGCACAGCATTTATTCTGTTTACCAATGCTATTGAGAACATCAGCACTGGGTCATCTGATTTAAAATGCATCTTTTTCTCTAAACTCTTACTGTCTGTCTCTAAATACTTTAGATGGAAAATTACGCATTAACTTGAGCTGTATTCCCATGCTAACTGCCGCTGTTTCACTGATGCAGTGGTGTTGCTTTTTAAAATATATGGTCATATTTGCTATAACTTTGCATGAGCACATCAAGTTCAGCTGGAGAAAGAAATGTTGATCTCTCTTTTTGTTACCATAGTCACTCATAACATCTGCGCTCCATTGATAATGCCTTTTTATAGTTGCGGTGTGTGAGCTTAAATCTGAGTTGGTCTACTCAAAGTTAATTGACCCAACTCAGATCTGCTATTCTGAAACCGAAAATCTCACGGTAAATCAACTCAGAGTTCAAGTACCACGGTAACTGACTCTGAGTTAAAGTTATTTCTCTTTCAGAAACAGGCTTGACTTAACCTGCTTTCTCCAGTTTGACAAACCTGCCAATTTGAAAAGGAAAACCCAGAGTTTCTCTCGTTTCAGGGTTAAAATACTCTGAGTTTTCACTTAACCTCCTTTCTAAAATAGGGTCAATGTCAGCTTCTCCGCCAACTCATTAACCTGTATTACTGTACATGAGATGGTTTTCATTAACTGTTGTTTTTTTCATTTTAGTATAATTTTGTACAAATTTAATACAGAAAGTCCTGTCTCAAAGATGATTAATTACTAAAAAACCATTTAATACAGTTAATAATTTAGAACATAGTACTATATCTCTTTATTGTGTTTCCATCCATTGGGTGGCCAGTAAAATTGACACCATTTAAATTTTTTGCCCACATAGTTTTATTTTATTTAATTTTTTTTTCCATTTTTTTTTTTTGCAATTGAAATCTTCAAACCTAATGTAAAACCATGATTTCTGAAAACTATTAAAATCTTCAGTTTTAGTATTTCCATAAATCATGTATATTTGCACTTGTATTCTTTGATGCACAACATAAAACATAATATCTCTAAAAATCAAGTTATCAGTATTTGCTGTTCGTAGATGGACATCTTTTCTCTTCTTTAACTACAGTGCATAAGCAGATCAGCTACTGGCATCAGAAACAGCCACTGAAGTATTGTAGGTGTTGCCACTGTATGACTTATTTTTAAGTTGTTTATCTTATTTTCTTGACCTCTACATCAGCAATCCACCTAAAACTACTATTATTTGTGCAGTACACTCACTCTTCCAAGAGTTCTTTAACTGCAGAGTAGAGTTAAAGATATTTCCCTGAACCCGAAGGGACCCGAATAGTTCGGGCTTTATTTCTATCATTTTAGCCGGCTCAGGCCGGGCTCGGCTTTGCACTCAAGCTTGCACAGTAAATGAAACTAAAGTATTTTGATACAAAATATTAACCCATTTTCATAAACCCTATCAAATACAAATGACAAAATACTATTTTGCATTTGAAAGGTGTGTTTGAAATACTTGTATATCATAAATACTACCCATCCCTGGCTGGTTGTGTACACAATGTGGACATAAATCAGTATTTATTTCAAAGACCAAAAAGAGTAAAGTCTGCATAAAAGTATAGTTCCAAAAAAAAAGAAAAGAAAAGAAAATTCTGTCATTTACTCATAGTTATCTATTCCAAACCAGTTTCTTTATTCTGCTGAACACAAAAGAAGCTGAAGAATGCTGATAAATGGATCTTTTTACTTCTTTAATACATCTTTTATGTTCAGTGGAATAAAGAAACTCACATGCCTTATGAATTGTTACTCTTGTTCTTTACTTTCCACATCTATATTTTTTCACTTTTACCATCGCTCTTTTTCCATTGAGTGCTCTTTCTTTCTTTCTCTCTTCAAACATTCTTTACCCTACCATTTAAACCTTTGCTATATCTGCTGTTGTTTCTCTCTCGTTGTCCCTTTTTTCATTTCTCTCTGGGTCTGACCTCCCAACTCGTACGTTGTTATAAATGAGCTCCTAACTTTTCTTTTGCTTATGTGAGCAGAACACGTCTCAGTAAAGTCGTTCAGCACCAAATGTCTGTCTCCTAGCCACGTGAAAGCTTCTCATAAATGCCAGCTTTTAATAATGCTTGTGCGTGTTTGTCTAGAGATTCAGGGACGAGGCTTGCAATCTGTCCTTCGAGAAACATTTACAAGGCAACGTTGCTGTATCCATTTATGATGCATGGATGCTATTAATCTGTTTTGTCACAATGACAGGGTAAAACAATAAAAATGAGAATGCAAAAACAAAAATAAATAAATAAATAAATAAATTATCCAGGCAGGAAATTAGTTATGTAATGAAATCAAAACAAAGCCTTTTATATCAAAATCTGCTGAAGACATACAGATTTACAGAATTTAAAGTGGGCATGAAATCATAATATTTTCTTCTTCTTTGTATATGTGTATTATAAACCAGTGTGACATGAAGTGTGGATCCAAGTGCCGCTTCATTTAGAAAATCACAGGAGCAAATGAGTAAATACAAGGGAAATCCAGAAGCATGGTCAAGGTCACAGTCAATAAGGTCGATACAGGCAAACAACTAAAACAAGTAAACAAGACAAGGGTAAAGGAACTGCTTCGTAATGTTACAGGGATTGACCAACAAGACTCAGCAAAGTGTGTGGGAATGTGAGCTGTATAAATAGTCCATGTAATCAGTTTATATTAGAATTCCGGAAGTAGGTGTGTGTGAGGTGCATGTCAGGGTTTGTAGTTCATAAGGTGACAATTGTTGTCCGGGTGGTGGTGCTTGTTTACAAGCTATCTGCAAGCCTGGATCGCTGGTGATTGTGATATATATAGTAGTGCTTATTATAAACAATGTATCTACGCACATCATTATTTTGTACAAATTCATAATCCTTGATCAAATTCTATGACTCTATTTCCTTGCCCTTTCCAAAGCCTTAAGAGGAGAGCTATCCGGGCATATCTCGTTCAGGGAGAACAAGCAAATATTAAACTAAATATTAAGTTAGACCTTATAAACAACAACAACAAAAAGGTTGAAACCCTGATTACAGGACCATTAACCGTAAATCAAAAACTGCATCATCATGGGCGTGGAGCTCCAAGGTCTGAGGCAGGAGTGGGCGTGGCCAGCAGAGCAGGGGAGAAGGAGGGGAGCGAACAACTGTTGTCAGTTAGCTCACAAAGTGAGACACAAACCTTGAGAAGATGCATTTTATAGGTTACAAATTTAAATGCAAAAAAATAAACAGTAGTTTAATGCCCTGCTACATTTGTCATTTGTAATTTTATATACACACAACCACAATTTAAATAATTATAAAGATACTTGTGTTCATATAAACACCATAAATGAGGACTTCTCCCTCAATCCCCAGGTCTGAATGCAGACTCAGTGCAGCAGGTCTCTTGCCCTGCCTGTTTCAATCATTAGCCCTGCTGATAATCTGGAGTATTTAGGCAAACACAGCAGGACGGCGATGTGTCTAAATGTGAGCGAACTCCACTGATAAAGTACAAAGTCCGCCATTCTCCACCATACTCGTACTGCTAACCTGGCAAAAAATGCTTGCTGCACACAAACAGTTTTTTGTTTCGGCCCTGACAGGATCGTTGGAAAAAAAATGCAACAAACCCCTTGGATCATGGAAACTAACACATACGACCCTTCATGAACGGCTAAACACTGTGTGCCATGGGTCCGTGGACGCAGTCTCACCCAGTTATCAACACTGGGTCTCACAGCTTGGTTCTGGCAGGTCTGTGTCTGAGTCTGTGCCTTCATAAAGCATGCACAGTCATGAATAATTAAGAAGCTGGCTGTTCTCATAGGATAAGAAAACTCAGTTTTTTGCAGTTTTGCGCTACGTCACATATTTTGATCACGCCCCAAAAATCATTTTAAACCTGGAAGCTGAAATTAGCTGACAAAAGATGTTAAAAAAAAAAAGTACTCAAGGGTTTCTTGAACCTTTACGTTACTTTTGAAATATTTTCACATAATTTTTTACAGTGCAAAAATGTATTGCATTTGGGAATGTAAACTAATAAAAATAAGTGTTTATCCCAAAAATTGGTTGGTGATTGATGTATTTAAATATATTAATAATAAATATAAGGGCAAAACTGTGGATTTGTGAACATAGCAGGACATTTTTTAAACCTGGTTTGTATCTTTACTGGTATTTTTTGCCATTATGAGGTTAAAATTGTATAAGAAATTGTCTGTGACAGGCACAGTGGTTCGATTCCCAGCTGGGCCAGTTGGCATTTCTGTGTGAGGTTCTCACCATGTTGGCATGGGTTTCCTCTGGGTGCTCCGGTTTCCCCCACAGTCCAAAGACATGTGGCATAAGTGAATTGGATAAACAAAATTGGCTATAATGTATGAGTGTGTGTGAATGAGTGAGTGTATGGTTGTTTTCCAGTACAAAGTTGCAGCTTGAAGGGCATCTACTGCATAAAACATATCCTAGAAGTTGGCGGCTCATTCTGTTGTAATGACCCCCAACAAATAAAGGACTAAGCCGAAGGAAAATAATGAATGAAATGCCAGTGACAATAAATAATAGTGGGCTAATTTTATCTCTTTTTTTATATTATTCTTTGTGTTTGAAACAGACAGCAACTTCATTCTGGCCAATGCACAAGTGTCCAAAGGCTTCCCGATTGTGTACTGCTCGGATGGATTCTGTGAACTCACTGGATTTGCCCGAACTGAGGTCATGCAACAGAGCTGCGCATGCAAGTTTCTGTACGGACCGGAGACCAGCGAGCACATAATTCTTCACGTGGACGCGGCACTCGAGGAACGGAGCGAGCTCAAGGAGGAAATAATGTTCTACAAAAAGAGTGGTAAGAAGAAAATAACATATTTTACTAATGATGCAAAGCTTGCTTTACATGCTAAAACAGAACAGTTAATGCATTTTTAGGGTGTCTGACTTTTATGGTGTGTGATGTTGAGTATATTTCATCTCTTTTTAAACTTTTATTAGCAGCAGTTTCCACTGGATGAGGTATTACAGCATATCTTTAGCAAGTGAAATCTCTAGCCATTGTTAGAAGCAGATGGTTTTATTGGTTGGTTGGCCAAAAAGCACCAGAGAGACTCTAAAGGTGGATTACAAGCTAAAGTCGAGCAGGTGTGCAGTTTTATTTGTGGAATTTACAAGGAGATTGGGACTGATGTATTACTACACCGTACTCTCAATCTTAAAAATGCTAATTTTTAGAATTTAGTATATCTCAGTTTTCAGTCATTTATTATTTCTTACTGTCAAACGAACACAGTTGAAGTAGTTTTAAATATAATTTTATTCAATGGGCTCTAATGGCAAATGTAAAGATTGGAGACAAGTCAAAATGCACTCACTGTCCAACTGCTCGTTAATGCAAATCTAATCAGCCAGTCACATGGCTGCAACTCAATGCATTTAGGCATGTGGACATGGTCAAGACGATCTGCTGCAGTTCAAGCTGAGCATCAGAATGGGAAAGAAAGGTTATTTAAGTTACTTTGAATGTGGCATGGTTGTTGGTGCCAGACAGGCTAGTCTAAGTATTTTAGAAACCTCTGGTCTACTGGGATTTTCACACACAATCATCTCTAGGGTTTACAAAGAATTGTCCAAAAAAGAGAAAATATCCAGTGAGCGGCAGTTCTGTAGGTACAAATGCCTTGTTGATGCCAGAGGTCAGATGAGAATGGCCAGACTGGTTCAAGCGATAGAAAGCAAACAGTAACTCAAACTTACACCTGAGGTATGCAGAAGAGCATCTCTGAACTCACAACACGTCAAACCTTGAGGCGGATGGGCTACAGCAGCAGAAGACCACACTGGGTGCCACTCCTGTCATCAAAGAAAAGGGAAACTAAGGCTACAATTCGCACAGGCTCCCCAAAATTCTACAACTGAGGATCTGAAAAAACATTGCCTAGTCTGAGTCTTGATTTCTGCTATGACATTTGGGTGGTAGGGTCAAAAATTGGCATCAACAACATAAAAGCATAGATCCATCCTGCCTTGTATCAACGGTTCAGGCTGATGGAGGTGGTGTAATGGTGTGGGGGATATGTTCGTGGCACACTTTGGGCCCATTAGTACCAATTGAGGACTGTATCAAGGCTACTTCCAGCAGGATAACACGCCATGATCTCAGACTGGTTTCTTGAACATGACAATCAGTTTACTGTACTCACATGGCCCCCACAGTCACCAGAACTCAATCCAATAGGGCACATTTGGAATGTGGTGGAATGGGAGATTGCACATATCATGTGCAGCCAAGAAATCTGCAGTGATGATATAATTTCAATTTGGACCAGAATCTTATGAATATTTTCATTTCCTTTGCAGCAGATTACAGAGTACGAAAAGGCAGGCTAATGTAGGGGCAGGCATCTAACAGTCAGAAAACAGAGGAGGCTAATGTCGGGGCTGGTGGCTAACAGTTGAAAAACAGAGAGCAGGCTAATGTCAGGGCTGGCGGCTAACAGTCAAAAAACAGAGAGCAGGCTAATGTCGGGGCTGGTGGCTAACAGTCGAAAAACAGAGCAGGCTAATGTCGGGGCTGGCGGCTAACAGTCAAAAAACAGAGAGCAGGCTAATGTCGGGGCTGGCGGCTAACAGACAAAGTACGGAAGGCAGGTTAGGTGTCGAGGCAGGCGGCACACAATCAGAAGTGGAGATCAGGCAGGGGTAGAAACAGGATAATCAAACCAGGATAAACACTAAGAAATGTTCGTAGAGTAATTGCTGAAATCAGTTCCTTGTTAGTGGGCTGATGGGTAATGTAGTTTGTATATGTGTTAGTACTCGGGTGAGTGTTCCCTGGTACGGAGAGAGCGGCATGAGTGTCTCACTCATAACAATAATATAACTCCAGCCAGAAGCATGAACATACTGTAGTTTTTGTTAGTTTACACCTATGGTCATAGAAAGGTTTTTTTAGGTACAGAGGAAAGAGAAAAAAATGTTAAAGGGGTGGTCCACTACGATATCATATTTTAAACTTTAGTTGATGTGTAATGTAGCTGTGTGAAGATAAACAGCATCTCTGAATGTAAAATGCTCAAAGTTCAAATAAAAGGGAGACCTTGATTTTTACAGAGTTAGCTTAGCAAAGCCTACAATGATTGAATTTTGGGGACTACAAAAAATACATCCGCCCCCTGTGAGATCACAAAGGTTCGTTTATTGCACACCCACACTGCGCAGCTACGGGCTGTGGCTAGAGGCGCTGTAACATTACAGCAGAGGGAGCAAATGCCATCCAGCTAGTTCCACAGCGCTTTGTCTGTTTCTGTATTTGGGCTTCCAAATGACACAACCCAAACACAGAAGTGCTTACAGTTCAATATTAATTATGTTTCAGAAAATTATAAAATACATAGCAAGCATGATTTGACAAAACGCAGCTTCCAGAATCTCTGCTAGTTCATTGCTGGATTCGGCTAAAATCTCCTCAAAGATGCAGCAAGGAGATGGTGTGAACTTTGAGCCACGACCTGTAAGTGTTTTTATTTGTTAAAATTGATCATGACATGTACAGTGTCTAGCCTTAACGGTATGTTGTAACAAAGATGTAAACAACGGGAAAATTCTGTTCACAACAACAAACGATTTAGCTACAAATCCATATTTATCAGTCAAACTGCTGTAAACACACACACGTACACGCACTCTTGACTCTCTGCGTGAGACGGCAGTTTTTCTCTACACCGGCAGCTTTTCTATGCGTTTTACATCTCACACAATAAAGTCTCTAAAGATAAGTGAACGATTCATGTTACTTAAACATACATATTCCGCCTCCTGTAACGCGTTGAATTAAAAAAAAAATACAGCAATGCTCTCCCAACTGGAGTGTAACAGCAAAAACAAATCAATCCAGGCTCACACAGGTCTCATCCCACATCTTGTGCTTTATTCTGTCACCAGCGTCACCACAGAAAATAACTTAATCCGAGCATGAGAGAAAAAGAACAATAAACATTGGTCCCGCGCACATGCGCTTCTCTTGTTACAGATACTTCATAGTATACACTCACACATATAAACACACACACACACACAATGGCACACAAACACTCTTAAAGGAGCTGCATCCAATTTGCACTTGTTACAGACTATTATTGACTGACTAATTACACAAAACGCGCGTGCTTGTCCGGGCATGACGTGGAGCCGATCAGCCAATCTCAGCACATTATGACGATGACATTATGAAGCACATTATGAAGAGTCACTTGAGGGCGGGCCTTTCAGAGGAACTAGGAAATATGACAGTCGTTTTCATGTTAGCTGAGTAGCTGTGTATAGTCAAAGTAAGATATATGAAAAAATAACACAATTTTCTTAAAGTGAAACATGAACACTCATTGCTTTGCATTTTATTAACACAGCCAAGTCTAAAATTACATTCTGGACCACCCCTTTAAGAGTATCCCTAAAAAATATAAACTTTAGCCAATACCTGGTCCTCTAACACTATGTCCTATATCTAAACCTATCGAGTTGAATATTCTTTGTTTGATTTTTGTTTATAATATAATAAAAAAAAAACTTATGTCCACTATGCTTTACTAACCGAGACATCACACATTAGCATATTGTCTATATTATTACTCTTGTGGTGATTTTACTTGTTCATGTTGTCATCATTTATAAGTCGCATTGAATTAAAATGTATGCTAAATAAAAGAAATAAAATAATTATTAAAACAAGCCTAAAACTTGCCATTTACAGTGGGTTGGTTTTTCACAACACAGATATTACCTTCATTTGACCATTTACCATTGCAGCAACTTTAACTTTTATGGAAATGGTAAAATGTCGCCCTCATTACCTCTAATAAATCTATTTTACAATAAGCACAAAAAGTAATTTCTCTCAGGACCTTCAAAAAAGGTCCCCATTGAAACCAATTAAAATGGCAATGTTTCATCCCAGTGTTATTAAGGCAAAAAGTCATACATTCTTTGTTAACAGGCTTCTATTTTTGTTAGAAAGGCTTATAATATTTTGTTAAAAAAATTCAGCTTTGGACTGGAAAGCAAAAGAAAATGTTTTTTTTTTGTGTGTACTGCAGGCCAAATTAAATGGTTGTGTTGATATAGAAATCTAAAATTTTTTTGTAGGTATTTATATATATATATATATATATATATATATATATATATATATATATATATATATATATATATATATATATATATATATAATGATGCATTTGCTTGTCCATTATATTATATTATATAATTTTGAATTATATTATATTATATTTTATATTGCATTTGTTAGGGTTTTAGATCTCAAACAGTGCTTTGGCGTTTTACTGTTTCGCTGTACCGTTTTGCTTTTGCTTATTCTCCTCTCCCCCTTTGTTCTATATTGAATGGAACATCTCCAGCGCACTTGTTCTAGAGAGCCTTATTATTTCATCCCTTTTTTCTTCTCCATAATGGTGAGGCTTTTTCGTGAGGAAATGAGAGATTTGACAAAGACTTCTCCAGCTGTGAGCAATCAGACGGAATTCCCCTGGAGGCTTCCAGTAACGGCTACTGGTGGAGAGAGGAACACACGCACACACATACAGCTAAGCACACATATAAATGCCCTGTCGCACACCCACACCGCTCAATAGAGACAGACAAACAAGCATTCACACACACACACATACATAGAAATTGGATGCCATAATGATGCTGCTCTTTTTGGATGTGCTGGTCTGTTTTTGTTTCAGTTTTTATCTCACTTTAAATAGATTGGAAGTAATGTTTTTGCCAAGTAAGCTAAAATGCTTCCTGTAGCAGCATTTAAATTAACTGGTCTCATTCAGTGCTGAAATA